CGGAGCAGCTATGTCCTCAGTCCCTGTCTAGCGACATACCTTCTCTCCAGCAAACCACTTCCGGACCCCCAGGAACTGGGAGAACAGCTTCAGCTTCCCGGGCAGCTGCTCCAAGTACTCCGGCTTCAGTTTCTCCTGCAGAAGGGAAAATAGAAGCAAGGGAGCTGTGGGTCAAATCCTCGCAATCCTCACCACCCCGGAGCAACTCAGAGTTCCGGCTTTCTAAGGTGGCCCAAGGCAGTGACGGGGGTAATTCAGTCCCAACTTTTGGGGCATAAACTGATCATCTGAAGGGATCTCCCATCCCAGACACTCTCCTCCCTCCCATGCCAACATCAGGTAACTACTCTGGTGCATGATAGAAATTATTCACCTTCCTTTGAAGGAAGAGGCTGTGGCTAGAGAGGAGCCGTAATAGACTTCACAGAATGGTCTGCTCTGACACATAATCCCTGAGCAATTCCACCTCTCTTTGTCTGTGAGGCAACGTGGGATGGGGGGAACAGGCAGTGCTGAATCTAGGGAGGGCTCAAATTCTATCTTACCTCTGCTACTGGTTTACTGTGGGACCTCAGGCAAGTCACATCAGTTCTCTCTCCCCCACCTCTGTAAAATGGGGATAACTACTCTTCTGCCCAGGTAATTAATGGAGGCTTGTAAAGCTCTGGATTATATCTACACCTGTTAACCTCATGTGACCCTCCTGAGTCATCTGTTGCACTCCAGCTATGACCCACACCCCCAGGGGAGCAGGGATGCACTCACGAAGTCAGGGCTGTAGCAGATCCTTGCAAAGGCCAGGCGGAAATCCATCACCTGGTTCTCCAGCATGTCCACTCTCTGTATCTCCTCCTCACTCTCGCCAGCTGGGAGCCAGAAAACACACAGGGGCAGGGAGACTCAGCAACCATGGTTTAAATCTCAACTAGCCTCTAAGGGCTTGTCTTCACTGGGGGGAATTGACCAGCCCAGTTATTCTGGAATGACCTAGGTCTTCTAGAATAATGGCCCAGCACTTTTACTCTGGACTGGGGACCTATTCCAGAGGAGCTGTTCCAGTCAAGTTCCCCGTGCAGACAAGCCTTCGACTTGCAGCAATACTCACCCATCTTGTGTTTGCGCGCTACGTAGCGGAGGATAGCATTGCTCTGCGTGAGCTTGGTCTGGCCGTCAATGAGATAGGGGAGCTGGGAGGGCAAAGAGAGGATGTCAGGGGATAAGTTCTCCCCACCCATTTATCCTACTCTTGGAGGGCACCGCAGCCACCAAGCTACTTGTGCCTCCTAGTCGGCGGGAGGTCAAAGAGCAGAGCTCAGTGTCTCATGAGCAGGCCCTGCACTTTTTGACTCTGCTTGGGGGAGCAGGTGGACAGCAGGGCCCCAGATTCACTGTTCAGTGCCTAGCATTTAACCTTATAGCCATGCACAACCACGATCACACTCAGGCTAGGCACAGCCACGTGCTCGCTGCTGCAAAGACAGCAAGGCCTGAGTCTCCTGCACCAGCCAAGGGGGCACTGGAGAGCTGGGAGCCCTTCCCCAGCCAACGGCCTGGCTCCACCTCAGAGCCAGCCGTGAAAGCTGCTAGTCTCCAACCACTTCCCTCTCTGACCCTGTCCTCCCCAGCGACACATGGGGAACGGCAAAGGAGGCTGCTACGTACGTTCGGGAAATCCAGCCCCAGCTTCTCTTTCTCATTAGTCCATTGGCTTGTATCATAATCAGGACCTGGAGATAAAGAACAGGATGGTAAGTCCTATGGCATGAACACCTGCCCCCCCCCCACTGCATTTCCCTCACCACCAACCCTCCAATCCCACCCCACTGCATCTCCTAATCAACATCACCTCCCCACCACTGCATCTCCTACCCCACTCCCTACACCCACTCACTGCATCCCAACCATCACTGCTACCCCACAAACACCCACCGCACTGCATCTCTCCCCTGCCACCCTCACCGCATCCACCCACTGCATCTGTAGAACCAAT